CGATATCGGCCGGCTTCGTCAGTCGTATATTTTCGAATAATTATTTTCGGAAATATGATTTTGTTATTTTAAATATCTTAGGAGCGTAGGATTATTTACACAGAGCGGTAGTTACGCGATGAAGTATCGTCATCTACGTAGAAATCATATTATTTTTTTTTTCTTTTTTTACATAGGTCGTAATCATCGTCAAATTCGTAAGATCGAAAAGCGCAGAAAAAGAATCGCTTTTTATTTTTTTTTATTTTTATCCTTAATTTTTAACCTGTATTACCTTCAGGATCTTTCCCGTCTTTCTTTTCTTCCTCCACTTAGACGCGTTTTTTCTACTTAATGGAATTTTCATATTTACATTGTTATTTGTTATATCTCTTTGTATTTTTTTCTTTTTTTCCTGTTTCTTTTTGCTTTTTAGCGATAGTGTGTGTGTGTGTGTGTGTGTGTGTGTTTGTGTTGTATATTTTTATTTAGAAATTCTATCCCCGCAAAATGACATGCACTCATTATTATCGTAATTATTATTATCTCTTATATTAAATATTTATGTATGTACTTTATATTAATTAAATTGTTTTTATTTTTTATATTTTTATTTTCTCCCTCCGTCTTTTTACTCAAGAAGCTACTTTGATCTTCAGAAAAATATCGAGGAGCTTCGAAAATACTACTCGATTATTAAATACACGCTTGTGCTGTTTAGACTAAATACATACATACATACATAAGTAATATATTTTTTGTTTTGTTAAACGGCGAAATAGATTGGCTCTTTACTTCTTTTTTCAGGATAAAAAAATACGATTCTCTCAAGGAAGATAGTTCTTCTCATACACATACATACACTGCTGCAATTCTTTTCATCGCAATATTATTCAGTTTTGGTATCGCGTTTTAAAGTTTTATTAGAATTTATTGAAGTTAAAAGATCAACGGAACGATCGAGTATAATTTCGACTTTTTACATTTTGTATCTTTTTTTTCATTTTTTTTTTTTTTTGAGTTTCAAAATAATCGATCGTTACAAAGAAACATACGTAAAAATTGTACGTTTCTTTATTTTACCTATAATCATATAATTCCTTTGATCTCTTATGAAAATGATAGAATCATTTTCGAAATTTCGAAATTCTTGAATACTTTAAAACGAGACACCACTTTTGTTCTGTTTCTACTTTATCATTGCAATACATTATCGTTCGAAAATATGCCCCGTAGGTTAGTGAATATGTTCGAAAATATGCAATATCGTACGAGAATATCGCTTAAAAATAGATTCGAATATTACAAAAAATATTTTCAGATCCTTCCAGTTTAGAGATCTTTTTTCGCTCTCTCTCTTTCTCTCCCTTTTTTCATTTTGTTGTTGTTCTTCTTCGCAGATTGTCAGACTAATCGGCAAGATTGGGGCAAATACATACGTACATAATATACATACATAAAATACATACATACATGTGTACATATATTATGTATCTCGTTTTTTTATTTTTTTTTTTTTTTTATTTAACCTTTTCTTTCCTTGCGAAGAACTAAAATTTTCCAAAAATATATGAAATTTCCTGTTACATCGGAATCAATCGCACGCTTTTTCGAACGTCGCAGAACCTTTATATTTAACACATCGTTAACAGGTCTCACGAATATATAATTATTAAAATATTAAATTATATAAGTCGTTATTATACAATAAGTGAGCCAAAACAGTTTCTAGTAAATTTATAAAATTAATTGGATATTTTTATCCAGACTTTGTAAACTTGAATCATAGTTAGGTTTAGGGGTTTGTAATGTTATAATATAGAAACAAAATTGGTCCAAAACATGTGACAGAAAAGAGTAATTAATTTTCTCAATCATCAAAGAACTTAAATATCATCATATAATATTAATAATTATATATAATTTTGATGTGTTACCAATTTTCTTAATTTTTTCATATTTTAATTACAAGCATATAACTGGATGAGAAAGATATTACATTTTTGTATATAACAGACGGTTAGCAATGTGTTAATAATAATCCAACGATACTTAGCAGTTTCTTTTTCTTTTTATCTTTTTTCATTTGACCATCCCTATCTAATTTTTCTATCTTCCTTTCGAGAATCAAAAATCGACGACGTTCGTTTCGTCGTGACGCATTTTTTCTCGCGCGTGTAAAATTGTACGATATTAAAATACAGCTTCTTGTATTATAACTCACATGAAATGTTTTTTTTCTTTCTTCCTTCCCCGCTACCCCGGACAACTCGACCACCCGTGTATTTCTCCCTTATTTATTTATTTATTTTTTATGCGTTCTTGTAATTTTAGGCTTATCATTGTAATAACGAATCAACGATCTACTCTTTTTTTTTCTTTTTTTTTTTCTATATCTTGTTCCGTCAAATCGTCTAAAAATATGCCTCGCGTATATATTCATATATAATAATAATAATAATAATAATAATAATAATAATAATAATAATAATAATAATAAAAATAGTAGCAGTTGTAGTAGTAATAATAATAATAATAATATAATAATTATAATAACAACAATAATAATAATAATTTAATATATATATATATTTTTTCCCGTTATTTATTTATTCTTTTTTTTCATCTTGTTCTTTATTCTCTAATCTTCTGTATCGAGAATTTATATTTTATTTAATAAAAAGAAAAATGATTAAAAATATAGATAAAGAAAATAGTAATAATAATAATATTAATATTAATAATAATAATAATAATAATAATAATAATAATAATAATAATAATAATAATAATAATAATAATAATAAAATGTTTCATCTTCACAATCGCAGATTATTATTCGATCCACGATACCGCCCTAGATCATTTGTTTAATTGTTTTGTGTAGAAGATATCTAAACACGGAATGTCTCTGTACACACGAACATATATAGTACAACACGATTATTACAATATTCGATTTTTAAGATTGCGGACGGTTAATGACTCGAGTCTAATCGTGTCGCTTCTCCGTTAGCATTCATTATATTTATATACTTTGGAGTGTATTATAGTTATGTAATAAAATATTTTTGTGATGTGTGAACATGTCGCTCGTAGCAAGAACAATGCTGAGTATATTTTTATTTATTATTTAATTAATATATTATTATTTTTATTATTTTTTTTTTCAATTTTCTTCCCACACATGATGGAATTGAGTTGCGTAATAAAATATTTGTGATGTCAATATGCTTTGAGAACAATGCTATAAGTATCTATTTATATTTTCTTTCTTCTCTTTTCATACTCGAATAAAATGCAAAATGGAGAAATTGCAATGCAATTGTACTCGAGACTCCGTTTATTTTTATTTTCATTAAATTAATACCTTGTGATACGTAATTTGTGTGATGCTTCATTTTTCCGGTATGAATACTTGGCGTGTATGTGTGTGATGTGTATACGATTCGCACAAAAAGTTAGAGATTTAACTTGTAATATATATATATATTTTTTTTTATGTCTGTGGTGAAAATTTTCGCTTTCGCAAATGACATTTATTGCGTTCKAGATTGTAATGTTTTCTTTTCTTTTCAATTTTTATAATAGATTGTCCTATGTTAATGAAACATATCTTATTATAAGTATATACGTATCTATTTATGTACGAAAGTATTATCGTTTTGTACACACGCCTGTAATACAATTAATTAAATATTATATTTCTCTTCTAAGAAGAAATGACGTGTACATTTCGACGTGAATAAATATTCACGAGCATTTTGAAGTAACTCTTTCGATTTAGTACCAGGAACTAATTAGATTCAGCTTAAAAGATTACTCTCGATATATGTATAAACGTTATAAATTGTTGAAACAACAAAATTAGTTATAATAATAAAAAAAAGGGAGGACAAATTGCACATTATGCATATACGTATCTACACGTACGTTTGAATTATCAAAGGACATATAAGTTGAAACTTTTGAATAAATATATATATATATATGAAAATGTATACATATATACATATATATAAATACACAAAGGAGGAACATACACACATAAAATATGCCCTATTAATTGGACACATTATGTCACAATCCAATATGCTGCCACCCATTGCGTATATAGTAAATATATGTATGTATATATTTTTATTTTTTTCAAGGACACGAAAGGGTTTACGATTATCGGTACATTTTTTATTTTCTTGTATTTTTTGTTTTTGTGATATACGTATATTGAATTGTTTGTTTTTCTTTCACCCGAGACGAATTAAAACGGTGGAGGAGAGAATCTTACGAGAGATTTATTTAATTAATCAATTAGGCCGTATTTCGTTTCGCGAATGTATTCGTAACATTCGTCAGTCTGTTACAATAATTTCCGTTGATATTTGGCGGAAGCATATAAACATATCGATAAAATGTAACTATAATATTTATAAAGATTGAATAGATTTAATAATATGCGTCAATCTGCGAGGAAGTTCGACAGTTTTAATTTTATATTATTTCATTGTTAAATGCAATTCATGAAGAATATTATTGATAGGACAACGTGTATATATATCCATGTATCGACGTTTAAAGAAAACAAAAACGCGGGAAATATAATAATATATTAGCACGTGGTCGTTCACTGCGCTCGTCGTCATTTTCTCCATTCTATCGTTCTTATCTTTTAACACATTGTTGACCAAATTCATGAATATATAATCGTATTTGCACATGCACACACACATATGCAACTAATATAATTATTAAAGTATAAAACAATATAGATTATATTTATTATACAAAACAAACTATAAGTTCCTAGATGATTTTCAAAATTGATTACTCTTCCATTGAAATGTTTCAGATTTCTAGTAGTATTATAGCTTGTAGTATTATAATCTAAAAAAAAAAACCGTTAGCTTAAAGGATGTCTCGAGCAAGAATAATTTATTTTTCAAATCACCGAAGAATTATAGCCAAATCTTATAATATTATAATATTGGATAATGTTTGCTTAATGTTAATATTACCAATTTTCCACAAATATTTCATATTTTAATAATAATAATTTTCATTCAATTATAAGAATAAATATAGATAATAGATAATCATCGGTCAACAATGTGTTAATATATCCTGCATAATAAAATTAATCGTTCGTATATATTATTTATATACAAATCCTCGTTCATCGAGACTCCATTTCTTTGACTTTCTATTATCAAAGATGGCAGATTATCTTCTGGTAGGAGAAGATACAAAGTTGCAGGATAATAAAATCATCTTCAGGTTCTATGTAACACTATTCCTTTTCTTAGATTCGTTCTCCTTTTTCTTTTTTACGTTTATAAAAAAAATAATAAAAATTAACAAAAAAAAAGGCAAAAAGAAAAGAAAAGAAGACAAAGGAAGATTATCGGAATCGTTGGTCGAGAATCGTTGGCCGGGTTCATCTCGGAGAGGATTTCTTCTTCTTCTTCTTTTTCTTCTTTTTCTTTTTTTTTTTTTTTATCAAAAAGAGAATTTGAGGATTTCTTTATTTCTCTTTCTCTTTCTCTCTTTATTTCTTTTCTCGCTGACTTGCGTCCTTTCTGATGAAAGACTAGAATAATCCGTTGTCAAGTAGGACAGGTCGAAGGACGACAGTCGCGAATTCACTTCAATCACACACCGACTTTGTTCATGTTTTAAGGGTTGAACAACACCTTTCACACAAGAACGCCTTACGTACCCTTTTATGTACATCGTTTCAAAACTATATACATATGTTTATCCATATATATGTATCTATAAATATATATATGGGTCTTTGAAAATATATATATATATATATCTATATATATATATTTATGTATATTCTTCACAGATAATCATTATCGACGTTTTGCGCATCCTGAGACTTTAAAGTGGCCATTTCTTCGGCTGTACCATCCTCACATTCTTGTTCCTCAACGAAACTAATACTACCGGCTTTGTACCACACAACTAAGTCCACGACAAAAGCCAATATTAGGATTCCACCCGTCGTACCTGTTACAAAATGAAAATCTTAGAGTTATTTGAGTATATAGAAATTGTTTATTAATTTTAATTAATGTCAAATTTATTATGAAATAATCAAAATCGTTATTATATTTGTATTAATTGAATTGATATTATTTATGCACAGTTATATGCGTATTGAGTATTTTTAAATATTTATATTTTTCTGTTGCATTTTTTTGTAGTTTCAAGAAAATGATTTCACAAGTTATAATGATTTGAATGTAAAGATATTTGCGTACCGTGATAAAACATCCTGAAGACATTTGAGTCGTAGAGCCAGCAGGCACCTCGTTCACCACAAGCGTATTCCCACACGAGACACGCTGAATCCACAACAGCACCGTATACGATTGGGCATGGTACATTACCTGTGTAATCAAATGAATAATACATATACATTTTCTCTGTGATATATAACAAATTGATTACAATTATTTATTCAAATATTCTGTTTATGTTGTATGTAACGGATCAGAAGTTATGCAATTTTGAATAATAACATACGAATATTGTTAGGTATTAATGTAATAAATAAAATAAGTGAGATTTATCAATGTAATCTGATAAAGAATATTTTGATAAAAAATTTAATACTTTTCAATCAATATATTTTGTTTATTCTAACTGATCAGAAGATATACAATTTTTTAGAATTTATGATTTATCGAATGAATTAATAAAAAAATTCTTCGAAAAATTAACAGTCATAATAAATTCATATTTTTATATTGAAATATTGTGTTTATTTTAATAGATGAAAAATAAGAATGAAATTTTTAAGAATTCATAGATACTCTTAGTTAACAATGTAACAGATAATCAATGATTTATCGAACCGATCGATTAAAAGATTCCTTGAGATAATAATGATAAATCCTTTGGAGGTATCGCAAGCACGTGGGAATGAAAGAAAAAAAATCTGGTATACGTCTTTGGATTTGCGTAATAACGGGCAACGTCGCGAGGCCAGACGTGTAGAAAGTAGCGTAGTAAGTTGTTTCCCAGCGTCCATAAAACGTGAAGCGCGTAATTGCGAAATCATGAGAGTAGTAGTAATAGTATTCTTACCCGAGGAACGAGAAGGAAGGAAAAGAAAGAAAGAAGGAAGAAAGGAAGGATAACGTTAGAGAAAAAGAAAGAGAATATATACGAACATAAAATATAATTACCAAACAAGCCAATAGCAAATTGTATGAGACCCAGGGCCATGGCCTTGTCCCGTGGATCCACGCAACGTAATATCAGTAACATGGAACCAACCTCGCTCGTCGAATGTATAAAAACGAACACTGAGAAGAGAATCATGTAGACCCAAAAGTTACTGCACTCCAATGGGCAATAACCAATCGTCGCTGTGCTCGTCGTTATTTCCGGCATCGTTAAATTTTGCCCGATGCACTGGCAGTTAAAAAACTGAAAGAGAAGAATCATAATAAAAATAATAATAATAAAAAAGACAAAATTAAGACAGAGAAAGAACAAAATAGCGAATGGGATTACGTTAATGGGATCTCGTTAACATTTTATTACGATATAAACTTCTTCTTATTTTATCTTCTTATTTAATCTTCTTATTATTATCAGATTTTTTTTTTCTCGGAGAGACAATTTAAAGTGAACTTCTCGATTCGATATGTGTAATTATGTATAAGTATAAGTATACATTTGCGTATACATATCTCTTTGAAAGATAGAGGGAGAGAGAGATCTTTACATACCGATTCCACTTTCCCGTCCGCTATCGTGTAATTCGAGCAGCCAGCATGACACGCGGAGAAGTACGTTTTACCATCCGCGCCACAGATCGGGCTGAACTTGTTTCGATCGCAGTCGCAGGTAGCTTCGCAGGTTGGCTCGAAGCTCGAGATTCTGAGAAAACAGTAATCATGCATGAATGAACATTTATTTCTTACTATGACACGAATAAATCTCATCAAAGACAATAATGACGATAATAGTTATGATTATAATGATTATTGTTATTTCATTTCTTACCCATCGGAGTGCGAGATAAGACCAGCAAAATCGTCCATCGGACAACCAACGAACATCAATACGGCCATACCAATAGCATAAACGACTGCTGTAAAAGCTATCCATGCTGCAACGAACCTAGCGTTTGGTTTCGCTCTCAGAATGAATACTCCACTTATTATAATACCGATGCCCATTACTAGAATACCACCGACACCTGTCAAAAGAAAATATTACCATGTGAGAATTTACAAAACCGATTAAATGTTACATTTTATATGAAGATATATTTATTATTACCTGATATCATGTTAGCATGATGAGCTGGCAAGCGAAATTGGCTCTCGAGGTACTTTGGTAAGAATGTGTAAAGTCCTGCGATTGGCAGGATGTGCAGCACGCTGCTAGCTGTCCTGAACATCAGGATGTCGTTTTTAAGCAGCCTTTTAACTGCTTTTGGAAAATCTGTAAATAAATGATACGGATAAATAATAAACATAAAAAAATATAAATTCAAGACAAATAAGAATTTAATGGCCATATTTTTTGAAGGAACAAAAATTATTGTAGTTTTCATTTGTTAAAGATTAGAAGAGATTTATTTCGATAGAAAGACTGAAAGGATATATGTATGTAGTCGCGTAGTACGTAGGAAACTATGCGGCTAAGAGGCTTCTTCTAGCCTTCCAGAAAAGGCAGCATAGAGTCGTGGCAACCCCGCATAGAAACGTCCCGTACATAGACCCTAAGTAGACAAACGTGACCAACATCGAGCTCCACGTATTACCGCGACAACCCTGCGATAGGTGTAGTAAATATATAGGGTGATCGTTAAACGATTCGTTAAGTTTTATGTCATTATTTATCAACCGCTCAATATTTTTCTTTTGACGATTGTTAAAGGACAAGAACGTTCATTTTCATAGACTCTGAATTCATTTGCATGTTTAATATTCCTAAGAGATTTTACGACGACTGACAATGAGACAGTATTGATGTATTATTGTAATCAAAGATTAGATTAGAAACATAGTACACGGTAATACCACAGGGACGAAATTTGATGTAGTCTGAATTGATACGTATAAAGGATTGCAAATTTGCAAATAACTTTCAACTAAGTCTATTTTCTCCAATTAAACTATTCTACAAGTGATATTAATTTGATACAATCTTAGAAACAATAACAGTGCTAATATAACAAGTTTTATAGAATAAAGGATTACCGAAGATCAACAAAAATTATCAATAAATTTTGATAAATAAGAATAGATAGATTTGTTCTTCGATTTATAAATGACAAATAAATAAACGACAGAAAAATCTTGATGAAAATCGAATAGGGTGAATTTGAAGGGGGAGGTTGAGAAGTGATAAAGGCGGCGTGGATTTATTTTGTAGGTGTTTCTCTGTGCGCGTGCAAATATGTGTGTATGCGTATATGTGTGAGCTCGACGCACGACGCGTGACCGTGAACTTGCCCCACCTCGTGCACTAGTGCACGAGTCGGTCGGTCATTAGCGTTAATGCACGCACGCTCGAGTGCGCGCGAGCGCGCAATCACGCGTGAGCACCCGCGCGCGCGCGCGCGCGAATAAGCGAGAAAGAGCTGCACACAACTCGGAGGATTGCACACGAGGGACGAGCCGACGGCATTCTTTCCTCGCGTCCTTCCTGCCCCACGACGTTATGTATGTACCTACGACGTCCGGGCACCTTTTCGTTTCGTTCGCTCGATCGAACACGCCTATGCTCTTTCATTTTCTCTCTCTCTCTCTTTCTCTCTTTTTCTGTCTCTTTCTTTCATTCTTGTCTTTTGACGTGACTCGCGAGCCTTCGTGTCGTGTCTTCCATTGTGATTTATTAGGTCTACCGAAAAATTCTCACAGAGACGAATCTTCTTTTTTTTCTATCTCTTATTCTTCTTTTCTTTCTTCCTTTATTTATTTATTTATAAAATTAATGTCGAATGGATTTAGGGTTTCGTTTAAAAATAATTTTTTTTAGGAAAAAGAAAAGAAGAACAAGAGAGAGAGAGAGAGAGAGAGAGAGAGAAAAGTAAATTCAATTTGCAAATATATATATATATATAATTTGTGATTTATAAATAATCTTTAGCGAATCGAATTTGATGTAAAAATAATTATGCGGCAAGCGTAGAGAATATTTTATGATGGTAGATCTAATATATCTTGTCAAGCGATATTCTTACTTTTACATTTTATTTTATACGACAATTTTTATTTACATCTCACATGTATTTTATAAATAATTTTTTTTTTTATTTCTTTTCAATCACCAAGATCAACTAGTACAACGGTATTTGATGTTTGTTCAAAAGACAAACATTGTTATCAAATATCTACCCTAGTAGCACAAAATATTGAAACATATTGAATATATGTGTATTTAATATTAAAAAGAGATATAATGTCTTCAATATTAATGTCTTTTTAATATTAAATACACATGTATTCAATATTTTTCAATATTTTGTGGTACTAGGGTAATTACTAATTTTTTAAGTACCTATCATTTGTTCGACACGTTGAATAAGTTTGGAAAGGAAGTAAAAGAAAAAATAAAAAAAGAAGAAGAAGAAGCGGTAGAAGAAGCTATTTTTTTATTTCTTTTTTCTGTTGTGTCGCGATATTTTAACCTTTGCTCCTTTTGCAAAGAGAGCGGCACCGTGCGCGCCCGGCTGCCTGTTTGTTGCTCGATCGTGCCGCGATATAAATATTCTTATGCGAGGACTCATTATCTTAGCCGTGGGCGAAACTTAGCGCGCTGGAAGCGCCGATTAACTTGCGAAGAGCACCACATTGTCTCCGCTTTTTATTTGCATTCTCGTTAGCCTTCGAGGTCCGGCTGCCGAAATGAGCTGAGCCTGATGCGAAATTTTACCGAGAGGATTTTCGTCGTCGTTGTCGTTCTCCTTCTTCTTCTTCTTCTTATTTCTCTTTTCCCTCTCCTTCTTCTTCTTTTTTCTCTTCTCATTCAAGAATTTGTGACTTTTTTTTCAGTAACATCCAACAAAAATTATAAGAAATATTTTTCCCTCTTCTTCTACATTTCTTTTTTTGATAATAATAATAATTATAATAATAATAATAATAGTAATCATTTACCGAGGCCTATCATTATTTTCAATTTTAATATCACCGAAACACAACACTTATTTAAATCATATGATATCTTTAATATCGATAAACCAAATCACGTTCGTGCCATGTTGTAGATCAAGAAATGACGTCCATTAAACTACCAGAGAAGATTTTCGGTTAAAGCCTTTTGCCAGTTTGGACAGGTATAAAAAAAGATAGCCGATTAAAATCTTCCCATTTCCATGGACTCAAAAGAGAGAGAGAGAGAGAGAGAGAGAGAGAGAGAGAAAGAGAGAAAAGAGAAAGAAAGGCGACATTTTTATATCCTTCCAAGTTTTTTATCGGTGCGCCGACCTTTAAAAGGTAAGAAAAATTTAATGGCCAACTAAAGGATTAAGACGGTCGAACGAGTCTCTCTCTTTCTCTCTCTCTCTCTCTCTTTTTCATTCTTTCTTTCTTTCTTTCTTCATCTTCTGGATGGCGAAATGTACGCCTCGTCGATTATACGGACGATCGCTGATCTCTCTCTCTCTCTCTCTCTCTTTTTCTTTCAACCCCACTTCCAAACTTCTATTCCTTTTTCCTCTCAAGATTAACCAGGACTTACCTCTTAGACTAGGTTTTTTGGCATCCGCTCGTTTCGGTGGTGTTCTGTTCGTCGGCAAATGCGTAGGAAAGGCGAACATTCCTATGCTGACCAACATCAGCATCGCGGATATCAGCACCAGACCTTTAAAATAAAAGAGGAACACTTTACGTCACAATTATTCACGCTCGATGCATTTTTACCGCGAAGATTTTTCGGTTACAAGAAAAAAAAACACTTTTATATATATTTATATATATATTATTTTTAATCTAGTCGCTGATTTGCCAATTAAATCCGTCATGAATCATCGTTTATGTATTGAGAATAAAATTAAGAAAAAAATTATATATATATATAATTATGCATGTATAGAGAAATCACGTATACAAACGTTGTATTTTTTTTTTTTTTTTTTTAACCGACGTACGATTTTATCCAATCAATTTTTTTTCCCCTCTTCTTCTTTTTTATTATGTTAAACGAAGAAGCGCGTCGAATTTTTTTCGATAATTAGGTAACATTTTGTTTCTCATTTATTAAAACGTTTATATTACGGCCCTGTACCAAACTTCCCGAATTATTTTTACGCCGACGCTCTCAAATACGTGCGGCACAATAAAACGCTTGAAATCCTAATAATACTAAGGAAAGTCCAGTGACAACGGATATATGTATTTACATATACATACATATATATATTTATGTTCGTGTGTTGCACATTTACAAATATATTTCGCGAAATTTAAAGGTCGTCGAATTTTTAGTATCGTCCGTTAGTTTTTTTCTTCTTTTTCTTTTTCTTCTTCTTCTTCGAAAGAAAATGTGTCGCGTTTTTAACAGAATTATTACTATTATAATTATGATTATGATTATTATACTGGTAAAAGATTTAATATAAAAACGTTACTCGTAATATAATTATGATTGGATTCAAATGATTTGAATGGTTTTTTATATATTTTGAAAACTTACCGAGCCACCACGCACCAACCCATCTTGGATCGGTAGGCGTGATTTGTGGATTTGCGGATAAATCCGCATAAAGCATCGTGCAAAGCGATCCAAGGATAAAGCCTAACGCTGGTCCCAGAATCCTAACACCAATCGTGATTGCTATCAAAAGAGAAACATTCAAAAATGAAATGGTTAAAAATTTAGCAAAAAATATATTTGCCAAGTTTATCAGATTAGTCGCATGACACACGTATAAATTTGTGTTATAATAATAGATCATTTTTCTTCGAGAGAAAGAAAAAGAAAAAAAAAAGAAAAAATTTCTTACCAAAATATAAGGGACTTTCTCTGCTGGCAACGTTATCGTCGATGTATGGTATGCCAAGAGTGTAAACGGCTGTTTGACCCATTCCAACACCGAGCAAAGAGACGAAAAATATTGCCAGGACTACCGTCGTTATTTTACTTTGTATTCTTTGTTCCGTTAGAAAGTCACCTTCGCAATATGCGATCGAATCACCGTGTGGTGCCGTTGTACCTAAGGTCCACCTACGATGTTAACAATAAAATAATATTTAGTGATTTTATTGATGCCTGTTCTTTAATAATGCATACATATATCAAATATATTAGTTTGATAATGAAGTTTAAAAATAATAATGAAATATTTTCTTCAGGTGAACATTAAAGAAAAATAAGGAACAATTATTTGGTGTATAATTTAATATTAACACAATATTAAACGTACTCGTCAAGCGTATGGTTCTCTGGTCGTACACGCATCTTGCAAAGATTTGCTGGGACTGGATCAGTATTGTTATGTCCACCTAATTCGCCAGTAGGTCCGACACCGCTGAAAAGCATCTCGTTTTGTTGGATCAGCTGTTCACCGTAGATGAAATGAGGCATTGAGCAGGTGAAGGAGCTCACGGCAAAGAGAATCATGCCCCAGGCGATCCACTTAGGCCGGTGACCTTGGCCGCAGTAATACGTTAAGAGAAGGGACGAACCGATCTGGCCGATCTCAGTCGCAGACATTATGATACCCGTCGTTTTCGATTGGATTTGGAAGAGCTTCTCGATCGTTGTGATCACTGAGACGAAATATGTATAGTACATGCCTTGAAGCACCTATAAACAAAAAATCTAATTACGTTCTTCCGAATCTATAGAAATTTATGAGAGAATTTTTTTATCTTTTTCCTCATTATTTTTTTTCTTAATTTTTTTAATGACACTTCTTTAAATATTACGATAAAAGGAACATCATTTATGTTTGAAAATGTTTAACTTTTAATATATAATTCATACGATTACTATTGGGTTGGCAACTAAGTCATTGCGGATTTTGTCTTACACCTAATTTAGTTTTTTTATAGCAAAGATTCGAAGTTTTATGAACGTGGCATTATGACACTGCTTGACCGATGGCGAAAGGTCATCGACAAAAATGAACAGTACCTAATTTAATAAACAAATTTTTAAGCAAAAATTTGGAATTTTCATTCTTATTTAAAATCCGCAATCACTTAGTTGCCAACCCAATAGATGAATATCGAATAAATTAAAATACGTAGTTTTGTTTGATTATACGATAAATTGAAACAATATTGAAATATCGGTACTGACCCAGGTAATGCAAAAGATAACCAAGAAGGCTTGCTTCGTAGAAAAGTATTGCAACCATCTAGGTCTAAATGGACCCCAACCACAGGAAACGTCAGAATCATCGAATTCCGTGTGAAGGCTGCTAGATTTTTCGTCAGGCACGATCAACTTCCCATTCTCGGCTGCTCCGTTCTCATGTTGCTTTCCATTTGGTATCGAGCCATTGTTGTTATGCTTGTTACAGATAAGGCCGTTTCCATTGGCCATCTTTGCTGGTATTATCGTGAGAGCCTCGACGGTCCCATTCGCCAGAATCTGTCTGTCCTCACCCGCCATTGTCTACGCTTTCTTTTCTTCTTCCTTTTTCTTTTTCTTCTTCTTCGTTCTTCCTTTTCCTCTTTTTCGCAGCAATCGTTTCTCTTGCTAGGATACCTTCTCGATCGAGTCGATCTATGTAAAAATCGTTGTAATATATTATTTCAAAATGGACTTTGATCTTTCTGATTTTTTTACTTGTTTTTATTATCTACCTCGAAAAAGAATTTTAATGTGTTAGCGAAGAAAGAAATATTACGTTCACCACCACCAATACTATAACAATTACACTATTACTAACAACAATAATAATAATTATGCTGTTTTCACAGGGTAATGATGCAAGAACGAAATACTTTTAAATACAATTAATGAGACCACTCGTATTTATGTTTAGACAAATATAATATATTGTTATATTTTTTTTTTTACGTTTCTTCAGTTATTATATTTGCAATTTCTTTTTTGTCTAAATATTTTTTCTTTTCGCATTTTTTTACAAATAATTATTTATTTCCTTTTGTTAAACTAGGCCACGATATTTTTTTTTTTTTGATTTCTTTAAAGTTAGTAAAGAAGGATACTTTTAACTTCTCTTAAACGAATCCCAGCTCCGTGAACTTTTCGAAAGAATTGATCGGATCTACCTCGATCCTGATCGAATCGTGCATGACTCGTGATAATCGAGACTTTGCGAACAAAGAGGGACGTGTATTAACCTACGAGTCACGATAGTCTAGAAAATCGTATATAACGTCCGCGCTGGTCTACCATGACTATTCATAAACCTTTAACACAATCGTTTAGATAATACAATGTTCTAAATATAAATACTAACTTGCCCGTTCATTTTTCAATCTAATTGCCACGATGCCCAGATATATAATATGTATATTATATAAATATTATAATTATCGAAAACTTCGAAGTATTTGTTAACTACTTTATTTGCAATTCATTTTAATAGAATTAACATACATTTTTGTTTTGACATTTTACTGATATACCTAAATTGGAATATCTAAAATTGATTGTCAATTATAATTTTCAGTTATTTTAAATCTAAATACACAACGTTGTAAAATTGTTCAATATTATTAATTGGAATTGATTGAATACAATAATTTACATTAAAAAATATCATTCATTTATAAATTAATAATATTGATATTAATAATTACACGTAACTCAATACCGTTCTATTATATTATTGTTTAATTATTATTACACAGTGTAGTATTGTTATTTTCAATATTAAATTCTAAACATTCGGAAATAATTGTTTAATGTAAACCAACAGAATTTTGATGCTATATATCATCTTCTCGTTCGAGGTTTGCGGTTAATGTATAACATAGAAATTTGTTTTATATTTATCGTTCATTTACGAAAGAGAATGGGCAAGATCGTAAAAATTGATTTAGGTTTGCGGTCAATGAAGGATCATCTTTCACTAATATGATTCGGTTAGTTCGTGAGAGGATCATCTACGTAAGTGAGTAAGAAAGTTCACGAGACACCTTGTAGACGTAAGTCCTCTCACTTTCGTCCGTGCCCGACTTTCCTCATTTCCCTTACGTTCCATCGTACTGACTTCTATCTCGCCAATGCGGTTTTCACTGACACTGACAACGAGTATGAGCCTATGAAAGAGAGAGAGAGAGAGAGAGATGGAGAGAGAAAGAGACTAGAACGTAAGAGAGAGCCGATTTACTTGTAAGCACACACATACACACACAGCGGGTGACCGCGAAATAAGATTCGTCACTTTCGCCATTACGTTCGCCTTCGTTTCCTACGACTTTAAACCGGTCGACACAATCGATGAAACGAAATCTCAAATACTTTACTTCGAGAATCACGTTAAAAACTTAACAACTTTCCTACACAAAAATAATATTCAATTAATATTTATGATTTATTATTGTAGAAGTAAATTTATACTAATTTCAGTCATATCGTTTTTGTTTTATATAGTATTAGGATATTTTTAAATACTATGTTATAATATAACAATTATATTATTATACTTTAAATATAATTAGTAAATTTTATGTAGTATGTTAATTGAATGATACAGTATAAATACAAAATAATTATTACAGTATTTTAGAATAATATTAAGATATTTTTAAATACGTTTTACTGAAAATTGTGACATTATTGATCCATTACAATACTTTATATATATTGCATAATTTATTTCAAAATACTAAATTTAAAGTATTTCCAATAAAACTAAAAAAGAAAAAAAAAAAAAAGAAAAAACCTAATACATATAATCGATAAATTTACGTTAAAATTTACGATGCAAAATATAAAAAAAACTGTATAGTTAGATCATTGTAAAAAGTATAAATAAAAAATTGCTAAATACGTGTGGTAGAAGAAGAGAATGCGATTGAATCTCGAAGAATGCAAGCTAAAAAGGGATCCCATGAGAGAAACTCGAGGCCGAAGAACCGTATGTTTATGTCTCGTTTGCATACGCGTAGACATGCGGCCACTGTATAACAAAGTTCCGGAAGAGGATGTGAACGTTGGCAAATGGATTTTACAGCGTCGTTAATGGCCTAATCACAACGCATAGGTACATACGTAGGTATGTACGTATATACTTACACATTCGTATATATATTCGTACCTATGTATTTATATATATGTATATGTAGGCATAAATCGTCAGTGGTAACTGACCTCCGAAAGATCGTTCAAGAATATCGATGCTTTTACGATGTGACGCCATTTCTATGCGCCATTGACCCGAGATCGTATGTTTATTAACACCTCGAGAAACGCGTGCTTTTTGTCCTCGGCAGAAATAGAGGAACAGATTCACGATAATTTTCATCAATACATCGAATGATATTGCGAATTCCATTTTATATTTGGTTTTATATTAATAATAATAATAATTATTATTATTTTGTAATGTATTAATCTTTTATAATGATGTTGTATCGTGTCAATAAGCAAATAATATGTGAAAATAATAGTATAATTATATATAAATATTATTAATATTATAAATAGTTTTTTTTATTATATTTAAAAATATAATATAATATGATAATATAATTTTGGATTGGTCAATAATATTCTAAAACGTTATTAATATTGTTTATCACGATTGTAATGTGGTTTTGAAAAATATTTTAATATTAATAAATAATTTTATATGTAATAGCATAATTGTACTATTTTATAGTATAAATAAATTTAACGTATGACTTTCAAATTATATTATATTATATAAAGAGATTGAAGATTAATTTAAAATAATTAATTAAAACCGTACCAATTGTATAAAAATTCGATGATAGTAATACTACTACTAATAATAATAATTTATACTAATCTTYTTTAGTATATTATTTGAAAATTCCTCGCTTCTACACCTTGTTTGATGTTCCGATAGAAATTATTTAATAAGATGAACGTGGTGCTTTCGAAGAATTTTACTTTCGTCGAATCGTCCGAGATCGTTAGAAGTAAGAAGAACGATCGTTGGGATGTTCGAACAAGGTCGCAAGTCTTTTGCTTCTGCAAGAGGTAGAAAGGTAGAGAGCTGCAAGGCTTGCAATCGATTACTTCCCGCTCGTTAAAGTGGATCGAAACGTGGATTCGTATCCAGGCTACGGTCAGAACGAAATCGAGAGCGAACTCGATGCGATAGAAAAAGAAAGAAAAAGAAAATGGTGGTAAGTATAATATCTGATGGTGAAATTCTAAAGAAACATCTTTCCTTAAGAATTATCTTTGCTTTTTACGATCGAATTATTTTCTAATCATTTTATTTCAATTTTTTATTTTTTTTTTTATTTTTCTATGCGCTATTAACAAAAAACATCATGTTCTTATTTAATATAGCAAATAATGGTGAAATTTTCAAGAGAGATCTTTTCTTAAGAATTACTAATTTGTCTTTTTTAAAAGATTTCATTTGATTTTTCTATACTATGATAAGAAAAAAAAATATATATATGTATTTTATAATAATACAAGATGGACGAAAAGTTTTTATATTTAACAAATTAATTAGATCATTTTTTTTTTCAAACTATAAATATATAAGTTTACACATTTCTATAAAATTTCTATTAAAATTAATCTAAAAAGTTTCGCAAAGTAGTAATTACATTTTTTCTAATCACTTTAAATTAATTTCTGACTCACCCAGTATATCGACTCAATAATATTACGATAATATCACGAGTAATCCATAAAAAAATCATCTATTGACCAATCTAATAATAATACGATTACCACAAAACGCATTCCGTTTATACCTCGTAGATAATATCAACCTATTAATTACTATCATTTGTGTACTCGCATAAGTATTGAATCAGATTTTGTTTTTATTGCTAAGTAAGTAATCGAATGGGGATCTTACAGTAAGATTTCTCTTTCTCTTTAGTTAATGTAAGATTGCTTAGGCTTCTAGGTGAGATCAGGTGTGAGACAGAGAGAGAGAGAGGAAGGAGGGATGGAAGAGAAAGGGGAAAAGGAGGAGGAAGGAGAAGAAATTTCCGGTAATAAATTGTCGCGGTATGTTGACTGTAGGCTTGAATGGGGACTCGAATGTCTCGTAACCGTTGGTAAAGTGCCCACACGTAGTGGGCACACACACACACACACATACATATGTATACTTATAAAAACATATAATATATATTTACACATTTATTTATATGTTTGTGTGAATAAGTGTATGTGTGTATGATGAGGATAAAGATGTCGATAGACTTTAAGATAGAAACTTGGTCTGATCATCGTCTCGATCCTTGTTTCTCTTTGAAACTAAGCTCGTTCTTCGATTACGATCGATCTTCTAAACTTGTATGTTGTGCCTTACTAAAAAGGATACATGAAATAACTTTCTTACTCTCACTTTTTCTCTTTCACTCTCTCTTTCTCTTTCTAACTTTATTGGTCTTTCATTCAAGATCATAGATATGAAGCTATGTCAGCCGATTTACTGACGCAACCATTTCATTTGATATTGTAATAATATATGTAATATATATATTTTTAATTTTTATAGATTTTATTATATTTATATATATATATATATATACATTCATATTTAGTAATAGTATACTATGGTAAATAGTGTATAGTAAAAAAGAGGG